CTGTTTCTTTGTCCTAAGCATATGAAGGGATAGTGTGGTCAGAGACATGCTCGGCTGGAGTCGTTTTTTAAACGATGCAAACATGTTGTCTGAGACTTGGCGGGACACTGGGCAGGTGAAGTAGAGTTGAGTAGGTCACCTGTGACGTCAGTATATGAAGGGATAGTTCGAAATCGGTGTTTTCGGTGTTTTTAAAAGATAAAAAACACATTTTTGAATGTGGGGGTCTGTTTTTTTGTGACGATAAGTGACACTGCAGTAGCGTAGCGGGGGGGGGGGGGGGACATATGTCCCCGGGCGCCGACCTTAGGGAGCGCCAAAATGGGTTGGAAAAATAAATTGAAAGGTTGAGGGGGGTGCAAATCGAAAGTTTGAGGTGGGGGGGGGGGAGTGCAAATCGAAATCTTGAGGGGGAGGGGGGGGGGGGCGTGCACATCAAACGTTTGAGGGGGGGGGGGGGGGGGGTTGCAAATCGAAATCTTGCGGGGGGGGGGGGGGGGGGGTTCAAATCGGAAAGTTTTTCCCCGGGCGCCGGGAAGGGTCGCTACGCCTCTGAGTGACAGACGTGATGCTTTTTGATGGATGACCCCCGAAACGGATGACGGGTAGTCTAGTATATATATATATATATATATATATATATATATATATATATATATATATATATATATATATATATAGAGAGAGAGAGAGAGAGAGAGAGAGAGAGAGAGAGAAGTGCGAACATGGTCTTTTATATATTAGGATAAATCTTTGTTTTTTTAGCTATGTACTTGTCTAATTTGGGATATAATTTAATTTGAAATAATAGATCTAGGGCCTATTCACGTAAATCAAGTTTCTTGCGCTGACTATAGAAGTACCCCACTAATTCTACACCTAATCGGAAGTGCCTACATAGCTGAGATGTAGGTGAAGTAGAGTTGGGTAGGTTTAGAGTGCGGGGCACATGGCAGGTGAAGTAGAGTTGGGTAGGTTTAGAGTTCACCTCTGACGTCAGCATATGAAGGGATAGTGTGATCAGACCCATGCTTAGTTGAAATCGGTCTTTTAAAAGACAAAAAGATGTCTGAGTTGGCGGGACACTGGGCAGGTGAAGTAGAGTTGACCTGTTTTTTGACCTCAGCATATGAAGGAATAGTGTGGTCAGACCCATGCTCAGCCGAAATCGGTGTTTTTAAAAGACAAAAATGTCTGAGGTGTGACGTCTTTTTTGAATATGGGGCCTGGTTTTTTGTGACAATAAGTGACAGTGAGGAGCGGAGGATAAAGATAAAAATAATCAAATAAACATGACGTCTTTTATGGATGACCCTTGAAACACACGGTTATTCAAGAATAACGGGTAGTCTAGTAATGCACTCTGTCATCCGGTGTTAGATCCTTGTCGTGGCTTGGCAGCTTGTGTATCCTGACCACCCCCTGAGCTATACCAGCGGGAGTGTAAACTCCTAGTAAGTTCAACCAAGCTGGGAAGATCTGCGCGGGTAGGGATCAGACCAAAGCTAACACCCTGGTCCTCCAGGTTGGGGGTTGAAACATAAGGCTAGCAACATTATCTCGTAAAAAAATATACCGCTACAGAAACTGCAAGTACACAAATCCAACACCGACTTGGTCAAGGGGGATCCTCTCTAGAAGAGCCCATGATGCCTACTAGTGAAAGCCTAACGGAAGCTAGTTTGCTGACAAATCTCCTAACGCCCTAGACTAAAACCAGATTAGGGACCTGGAACATCAGAACCCTATATGAAAGCAGCAGATCAGCCCAGGTCGCCAAAGAAATGAGGAGGTATAAATTAAAAGTCCTAGGATTAAGTGAGACACGATGGAATGGCAGTGGCCAAACTAGGTTGGTCTCGGGAGAGACTGTTATCTACTCAGGTCACGAGGACGAAGATCATGAACACACGCAAGGTGTAGCCATAATGATGTCTCCAGAAGCAACAAATGCTTTGATTGCATGGGAACCAGTCTCGCCACGACTCATAGCAGCTCGTTTCAATGCCAAGGGAAGGAAAACAACTTTAATCCAGTGCTATGCACCCACAAATGCTGCAACAGATGAAGAGAAAGAGGACTTTTACAGCGCCCTGCAAGCTCAAATTGACAAATCACCAAAAAGAGATATAAAGATAGTAGTAATGGGAGACATGAATGCCAAAGTTGGAACAGAAAATAAAGATCGTGAGCTCACAATGGGGAAAAATGGAATAGGCATAATAAATGAAAACGGGGAACTCTTAGCTTATTTCTGTGCATATAATGATCTAATTATAGGGGGGGACAATTTTCTCTCATAAAGATATACATAAGACCACCTGGACGTCACCTGATGGCAAAACAAAGAACCAAATTGATCACAGTTTCCAGAAAGTGGAGAAGAAGTTTAATGGATGTTAGGGCAAAACGAGGTGCAGATGCAGCCTCAGACCACGAACTCGTGGTTGCAACACTAAAATCAAAACTAAAATCCTACAGGGATCGAGCTGATAAACCGCACTTTAAATTCAATACAGCATATCTTAGGAGTCCAAAAATAAAGGAAGACTTCAACTGCGCGGTAAAAAAATAGGTATGAAACACTCTCAAGCCTGGCAGAAGAAACAGTAGAGCAAAAATGGCTAGGAATACAGGAACTATGGAAGTCAACATGCACTGACATATTGGGAAGAAGAAAAAAATGAACAAAAAGAATGGATCACAACAGAGACATGTGCCAAAATTGAAGATAGAAAAGAGATAAAGCAAAAGATGATCAAATGTAAGGGAGAAAATGAGAATATAAACCTCAGAACACATTATTGTGAAGTAAATCGCATGGCAGGAAAAGTGCAAAAGAAGACAAAAGACAGTTCATTCAAGAGATGATAGCGGAGGCAGAAACTGCAGCACAACAAGGAAAAATGAAGAGGTTCTAAAGAAGTAACCAGGACCCTATCAGGCAAGAATATCAACCCCAACAAACCAGTAAAGGATAAATTAGGAAATATCTTAACAAGTGACACAGAACAGAGAGACAGATGGGTACAGCACTTTGATGAGATTTTAAACCATCCTCTCTCATCAAACATCCCTAATATACCACCTGCAAACCACCTACTAAATGTGCGTACAGATCCACCCACAAAGTTAGAAGCAATAAGAGCAATAAAGAACATGAAAAATGGCAAAGCAGCTGGCCCGGACGTAAAGTAAAGTTTCCCTTTCAAACCTGACGGTCTATGGGGCAAGTGAAGTAGAGTTCACTTGTTTCTGTGACCTCGGCATATGAAGAGATAATGTGGTCAGCACTATGCTCAGCCGCCTTTACTTTCCCTAACGTGAGTTAGGTACCCATCTGAGTTGGGTGGACTCAGGGACGGTCTACTGACTTAAACCCGGATTCGAACTCGAGACTTACGAGTTAGCAGTCCAGCTTGGCCCGGACGGCATCCCACCATATGCACTCAAAGCAGACCCAGCCATATCAGCAGACATACTACATCCTCTACTTAAGCAGATTTGGGAAGAAGAAATAATCCCATCTGACTGGAAACTGGGATACCTGATAAAAGTGCCAAAGAAGGGAGACCTGACACAATGAAACAACTGGAGAGGGACAATGCTTCTTTCAATCCCAAGTAAGGTGCTGACAAGAATCATCCAAGAGAGACTTAGAGATGCCTTGGACAAAAAGCTGAGACAAGAACAAGCTGGTTTTCGTCAAGACAGGTCATGTACTGACCACATTGCAACGCTGCGAATCATTATTGAACAGTCCCTTGAGTGGCAATCCCCCTTATACATGACTTTTGTCGACTTCGAAAAGGCGTTTGACAGCGTGAATAGAGATGTTATCTGGAAGTTAATGAGTCACTATGGAATACCCAAAAAATTTATATCTATCACACAGAAACTATATGAAGACTCCACCAGCCAGGTAATACACAATGGAAAACTAACAAAACCATTCACGGTGACGACGGGAGTAAGACAGGAATGTGTGCTATCGCCAATGATATGCTTGATGGTAATCGACTGGATCATGCTGAAAATCACACAAAAAAGGCTGGAAGATCTTGATTTTGCCGATGACATCTGCCTACTATCTCACAAGCATCAACATACGCAAGCCAAACTACTAAATCGGCTATCTGAAGAAGCCTCCAAAGTTGTACTAAAAATCAATAAACATAAACCAGAGGTCATCAGAATCAAGAACAGCCAGGACCTGCCCATACAGCTAAATGGAGAAAATTTACGTGAAACGAACACATTCACATATCTGGGAAGCGTGATCAATAAGGACGGGGGAGCAGACGAGGACATTAAAATGTAGTATCAACAAGGCTAGATGGGCCTTCAACTCTCTGCGCCCGATGTGGAGGTCCAAGGCCCTGTCACTCCGGAACAAAATTGGGATTTTCAACACAAATGTCAAGGCAGTGCTGCTCTATGGCTCGGATACTTGGAGGGTTACGAAGACAAATACTGATAAGCTACAGGCGTTCGTAAATAAATGCTTACGGCATATACTTAAAATAAGATGGCCAGACAAAATTTCAAACAAAGACCTGTGGCGTACTTTAAAGCAACAGCCAATAGAGACAGATATCAAGGCCCGTAAATGGGGATGGATCGGACACATATTAAGAAAAGAAAAAGAAAATATCGCAAAACACGCTTTGGACTGGAATCCCCAGGGAAAAAGGAGGGTGGGCCGGCCAAGGAAGACATGGAGAAGAACGGTTGGAGAAGAGGCGAAAACAGCTGGGCTCACATGGGCACAGATAAAGGGAGCAGCCCAAAACCGAGTTCGATGGAGATGTGAGGTTGCAGCCCTTTGCTCCCAAGGGGCCACAAAGGAATGATGATGATGAGTAATGCACTAAAAGGGAGTTAAAATGATTTTCTTTAAATATATAATATTGCACTACTGTAGTAATAAAACTATAAAGATTGTTGACACCACAAGACGCAAATTTCTGCACTTTCATTTTTAGCTATATAATGATTACCTTTTGAGAATCCGCGCTATGATTATTTTCTCTTCAATAAGTGCAAAGTTTTGACCAATGCAGTTCCTCGAGCCAGCAGAAAATGGCGTGAATGCGAAAGAATCTCTCCCTTTTGTGTCTTCTAATTCAAATCTTTCAGGATGAAATTCATCCGGATATTCCCAAACTTGTGGGTTTCTGTGCAAGTGTACTATGGCAATGGTAATGTTAGTTCCCCGAGGAATTTTCATTCCTTCAATCACAGCATCTTCGTGCAATTTTCTTTGGATAAACGGCACAGGTGGGTAAAGCCTCATTGCTTCTTTAATACATAGTGATAATGTCTTTAGCTTGGTTAAATCAGCCCTGTTAATAAAGGTGTTTCCAGATGAATATATATATATATATATATATATATATATATATATATATATATATATATATATATATATATATATATATATATATATATATAAACATCGTATTCGTGAATTTATTTTACCTATATTACCCAAACTGTGTTCTTTATTTGAGAAGTACAAGAATCTTGGCTTAAATAACAATTGTAAAAATTGTTTTGTGAATTACATTATTTTAAAAAAAAAAGCCTACCACTTGACAAAACCATCTCCCAATAGATCAACCTCGTTTTGTACTTGAACTTGATATTTAGGATTGTGCACAAGGCAATGGAGTATCCATGGTAAGGAAGTGGCAGTGGTGTCATGACCTACACAACCAAAGAAATAATTGACAGTTCTAGTTATGTCTACGTTTTTTTTACAAGCTTTTATATAATCACTAGGCAGTTACTTGTCGATTTGATTAATTGATTAATTGGTGATTAACTGTAATGTGTGAAGCTTAAGTTTAAACAGTAATTTTATTTTAAAAAATTGTGAAATATTCGCAAACATTTTACTCGCAAGGTAAATAGAACTACAGACTCTCCCTTGATAGTATAACTAAAAAAATTATATAACACTAATTTTTTTATTTTAATTTCTATAATTTTATTGGGATACATACTTTACTATATAATGAAATTCTGACTCAAACGAATGCTTAAATGTATTTTGTTTTGTTTTGTTTTTTGATTAAATTAGTATGAAATTAATAAAAAAATATTACTTTAGAAAGGTAGGCCTACCCCCTTTCTACATAGACCGAATGACGTAATCTTTGTTTATTTTTCACAAAAGGGGAAAATACGCCATCTGGTCAGATCTGATTTTTGCGACTGGCAAAAAAATATTTTTGGTATAGAAATCTATTGCTCATATAAGGACAATTGCAATCGCGGTCAGTGTTTAGCCCACGGTGAGGGTCTAGAGTCTGACCGACAGTTGTCTGGTCTCTCGTTTTCATGAATAATTAGATATTTGCCCAATAGCACATTGTTTTCCATTATCAGTGGACATTGTTCCACAACCTCACAAAGTATCGGGGGGGGGGGGGGTGTCGTCGTTCTACAAACGTTTTTTTTTTATATAAAGATAGATTTAAGGAGAATTTCACTCGCGGTCACTTTTTTAGCCCTCGGCGAGGGCGTAGAGCCTGACTGTTTTCCCTGACGGTCTAAGAATTATCAAAGTGCATGCAAAAAATTAGCCGAATATACAGAGGGTAAGTACCCTAACATATTTTTGAAAATCATGAAAGTTACTTCTGCAATTCACATAAAATACAGCGATTACATTGATCTAGTAAAATATTGTCTCTCTTTATATCCGATTTTAGATACTTTCTCGAATAGCTCAACTTCTTTTTTCCTTATCCACGGCCATTGGTCCATAACCTCACAAAATATCAGGGTGGGTGGGTCTTCCCGCAAATTTCACCTTCCCGCAAATTTTTTTCATGATATATTATAGCTTAAAAACGGCGTCAATCAGTCACGGTCACTTTGTAGTCCTCTGCGAGGGCCTGGGGCCTGGCCGAACTTTCCCTTGATCATTTCGCCGGATGTGAGCGTCTGACGAATTTGAAGCGCCTGTGGATCCGGCAACTACCTGTACCGACATCTGACTAATTTGCCTTATATGTATACACGCACACAAAAAAATATATAAAAGATTTATTTTTTACTATAAAATAATAAATCACTATTTATATAACTTAGAAGAAAAGCGTAGGTCATTATAAAATGTATTAAACACCTTTACGAAAATTTAAGTAGCGACCTACGGTTTTTTCTTTTAAGTTAATTAATTAGTTGTCCATAGTTGTATCATTAAAGATAATACATTGTTCCTAATTTTTATTAAGTAGGCCTATTTCAAACGACCGGGAAAAAAAATTCGGTTCCGATTGAAGTGCCAATTAAATTGTTTGTTTCGGTTGCAGATCCGATTAAATTTCAGGTTTTGATTTAAGTTCCAGTTTCCATTACGTTTTTGGCTTTGGTTTAAACCCCAGTCCTGAATAAAATTCCAGTTTCGATTAATGTGCCAGTCAAAGTGCCGGTGCCTGTTTAAAGTAAGTTTCAGTTCTGATTAAAATTCAGTTTCAGGTTTAATTTCAGTTTTGTTTAATGTTCCGCTTACAGTTCTGGTTACGGTTAAGGTTTCGGTTCCTGTTGAAGTTTTGGGTTGAGCCGAAATTCCAGTTTCGCTTAAAGTTCCGTGAAAAATAAAATTTCCGTTTCCGTTAAAGCTTCGATTCTGGATACATTTTTTTTTCGGAAGAAGTAGAGGTTGAATCTAAGGTTACGGGTGAGGTTCACATTAAGGCTAAATTTGTGTCTAAATTGTAAATAGAGTTAAAATTAAAGCTAAAGTTAAGTAAATTAAATTTTTGGTTTTGGTTTTAGGTTAAGATTGAGGTTGAGCTAAAAGTAAAGGTAAAGGGTAAGGCTAAGATCTATGTTTAGGGGAAGAGAAATAAAACGAAGCGTCTAAGTGCCCGTTTTACTTTACACTCAACGGGTAAATTCTCTAGTCTATATAATTGTAATGATCAAACCGAAATCTTCTAGGGATTAAGTTCTCGTAAAGCCAGTTGGTGATGTCCGTGTCTTTTGAGTCTTTATATAAGTGTTTCTAATCCATGTGTTATAATACCGCTCTGACACCACAAGTAAACATTAAAAAAAATATAAATATAAAACAAAGTGATCAGATGCTGGTCAAGGCAATCGTGTCCGTCGAATAGAACACGGGGATAAATACCGATATGCCTCAGAGTCCTAGGCTAATGGGTGAGAACTGACCACGACTGACTAACGCATTTATATGCTATTGAAAATAAATTATCCCCCCACTCCCCCGGATATTTGAGAGGTTGTAGAATGATGCCAATATCTGGCCTAATCATTGTAAATTATGTGAAAAACTTACATTTATTCAATTTTCATCATTGAGCGTCCAGGCTTTTATTTTTATTAAAATAACACCGAACTATATTTATATTTAATTTTTTGAGAATTTTTTTCATTTGTGATTTTTTGGGTGTGATCTCTGATTATAATACAATCATTTTTCGTTAAAAAATAATATTTTATGTAAGAAACATTAATTAGAACAATCGTTAACTCACCAGCAAACAAAAATGTGTCCACTTCATTTCTTATTTCTAAATTGGTCATTGGACTTCCGTCCTCATCTTGAGCTGTCAATAAAATGTCTAGAAAATCCAAATGTCTTTTTTTGACTTGTACACCTTTGTTCTGATATGAAAAAATAAAAAAGCGGGAGCGATGTCCTTTATACTATCTCGTATATTCTTAAATAACAGTAAAAAGGATGGCATTTTAAGGGGTCATCCATATATGACCTCCACAAAAATTTGGGATTTTAGACCCCCCCTTACCCCCGTCCACTTTCGACGCCCCCCCCCCCCTCCCATTGTGGACGTCCATAAAAATTTAGAAGACCTCTCAATACATGCTGCAAAATTACTAATTCATTTTCATGCAATGTGTACATTAACTGATAATGTAGTGAAGGGATTTGATATTTTCGGTAACATCTATTACTAGGCCTAAATAATAATCGGGAGTTAAACTTTTCCAAGATGTCCATAAGACTACGGCGTGTTAACTTACCGTGTCAATGTGCTAAGACTATCTAAAACTGTTCTTAATTGAAAGAGTTATCGTCTCTCGATTTTATAGGCTTTTTACCCTATTTGTTATAAAGAATCAGAGATTGCAGGCGGTCATGCATCTTTTTGCTGTCATTTGTGGCTGTCAAGCTACCAACGACTATATGAGTTGGGGTTAATTCGGCTAATCAACGTAACGTCATTATATTACTTTTACTCAACTTTAATGGGTTAGAGACAAGCACATATTAAATATATAAAAAATTAATATGGATGGTTTATTAAAAATAGTTTTATTTTCCAAACGTACCATTTTAATTAACGTCATGTGGAACAAAGAAAGTTAAATAAAATGTATCATCCTTCACAAAAATTTAAAAAGTGCATTTAGGTTTGCGTTTGCATTTCTATTTGAATTTGAATTTGCGTTTGTGTTTGCTTTTGTTTTTGCGTTTGGGTTTGTGTTGTGTTTGTGTTTTCGTTTGTGTTTGAGTTGGTTTTTGTGTTTTGGTTTTGGTTGGTTGCGGTTAGGGTTAATTTGAAATGTGATTTATTTACTAAACCCGAACCGGGGCAATGCTGGGTATATGCTGCTTAATAAAAACACAAGTCATGGTCCTTTATAGATAGTTTTTTTTTTTTTACAGAGGCTTGAGCATGGCCTGATCGGGAGGACTAGTATTATCATATATTTTGGGGATAGTTTCGATTGCCGACTTGTAAGGCAGCTATCAAGAAGTTTCGGGATCGGAAACAAGTATATATGTAGTGTTTTGTTAAAACTGTGTATTAATGCTTTATATCTTGATTTTGGTTAAGTGTTAAGGTTAGGACCGATTAGGGCTAGTGTTAGTCTAAAATTTTTTAATGATTTTTATAAAAAAAGAATAGTTTAAACTGAATTAACGAAATAAGTATCTTTTGTATCATTTGCCGTAAAAGGGTCTCATTATAGTGATTTCCCCAAAAACCCATATTTTTACTTTCTCGTATACGAAGAACACCATGAACACAATCTCGACGTTTTACACCTTCCTGAGTCTGAAAAACATAGTTTTACAAGTTTGTCCGTACGTCTGTGTGTGTATATATGTATATATATATATATATATATATATATATATATATATATATATATATATATATATATATATATACTAGGCAAACTGCCTAGCTTCGCTTAGGTTTTCAAAAAAGTTGAGAAATTGAATGATTAATTAATAGGTGATTGGCTGTTATGTTAAAAGCTTAGGGCCTAAATTTATTCAGTGTGGTACTTTTTTTTGTACCCATAAATTGATGGAATATTCACAAACTTATTACTCGCAAGGTTATTAGAACTGAAAGGGCTTTCATAAAAATTATCAATCAAATATTATATTAAATTACTTTTGCAATTAATTTTACAATTTCAATACAATACAAAACTTAATTTATAACAAAATATTCGTTTAAAACAATGCTGCACTTTATGATTTTTGTTTTTTCTTAAAAAGAGTATACAAAATATAAAAAAAATTGTTACATTAAAAAGTTACCTCCCTTGTTCATAAACAAAATGACCAAATCTTGTATAATGAGAATTTCACTCGCATTCATTTTTAGCCCCCTTCGAGGGCTTTGATACTGACCAACAGTTTTTCCATACGGCCCAGTCATCTATAGAGGTGTATGCAAAAAATTAGCCAGTTATCCAAAGAGTAAGTACCCTAAAATTTGTGTAGAAATTACCCTGTTTTCCCCATAAAATACAAAGATTATATAGGTAAATACAACTGGTCAGTTTTGACCCATTTCCCGATTTTTCCCGGACATGGCGAGTTTTCTGTGACACCCCAAGGCGTTCTCCTAACACCTCACAAAATATCAAGGGGGGTCGTCGTCGGAAATTTTTTATCGTAATAGAGCTCATATAAAGAGAATTTCACTCGCGGTCACTTTTTAGCCCTCGTCGAGGGCTTTGAGTCAAACCGACAGTTATTCTAAAGGTCAAGCCATTTACCTAAGAGTATGCAAAAAATTAGCCAGATATACTGTGTTTAAGTTCCCTAAAGCCTGCGTTGAAATGACCCTCTGATTTTCCCATAAAATACAAAGATTATATAGGGAAATACAACTGGTTAGTTTTGACCCCTTTACGAAGTTTTCCCAGATATGCCGAGTTTTTTGTGACACCCCTAGGCGTTCTTCTACCACCTGACAAAATTTCAAGGGGGGTCGTCTGAGGAAAATTTTTTTCGTAATAGAGCTCATATAAAGAGAATTTCACTCGCGGTCACTGTTTAGCCCTCGTCGAGGGCTTTGAGTGAAACCGACAGCTTTTTCAAAGGTCAAGCCATTTACCTATAAGCATGCCAAACATTAGCCAGATGTAAAGTGGGTTAGTGCCCTAAAATCCGTTTTGAAATGACCCTCTGTTTTTCATATAAAATACAAAGATTATATAGGGAAATACAACTGGTCAGTTTTGACCCATTTCCCGATTTTTTCCGTACATGGCGAGTTTTTTGTGACACCCCAAGGCGTTCTCCTACCACCTCACAAAATTTCAAGGGGGGTCGTCGGAGGAAATTTTTTTTCGTAATAGAGCTCATATAAAGAGAATTTCACTCGCGGTCATGTTTTAGCCCTCGTCGAGGGCTTTGAGTAAAACCGACAGGTCTGCCCTACGACCAAACCATTTGCCTATAAGCATGCAAAAAAATAGCCAGATGTAAAGAGGGTTAGTGCCCTAAAATCCGTTTTCAAATTACCCTCTGTTTTTCCCATAAAATACAAAGATTATATAGGGAAATACAACCGGTCAGTTTTGACCCCTTTACGAAGTTTTCCCAAATATGCCGAGTTTTTTGTGACACCCCAAGGCGTTCTCCTACCACCGCACAAAATATCAAGGGGGGTCGTCGGAGGAAATTTTTTTTCGCAATAGAGCTCATATAAAGAGAATTTATATTATAGTGTCGAATTTAAAAATTATGAATTGTTGATAAGTAGAAAATAAAACAACTGGATAGCGGCGTATGCTACGTCGCGGGTCAGCTCGTATCGTTTTATTTGTCAGTACACTTTTGATCGGAAACGCTGTCGCACGCTGCAATTACACGATTTTACAACACAGCAGTCAAGAACTTATAGGTAAGGATATTTGATTAATTATGTACATCTATTCTATTAAATTTTATCATTTTAATGAATAATTAACAAAGAGTGTTTGTTTAATTTAGCCCATTTCCAGTAGATTTTCGAGAACCAAACTGATTTGTTTACATTTATATTAGGCCAGCACAATGCTTTGAAACTATATCTTCATTCTACAATCTAAATCTATAGAACAATTAAAACAATATTAATTCGAATTATATTTTCACAAGCTTGTGCAATAAATTTAATTATTGTTAATTAATTTCTAGCTTTAGATTAAGGGTTTAGCTACGTGTTAAGAAATTTTTATATGGTAGGTCACAAAATGTTTGGCGTACATGTTAAACGACATGCTTAGTTGTCTTAAGTAAATACTTTTATCATTAATTTTGATATTAATGGCCAAATATTGAGATGGCTATTGAGTTCAATAAATTATAAGCATGCTTCAATGGTTAACACATTAAAACATGAGCTTAGCAATTAGCTTACTAAAGTGATGAGTATTACATGTTTTGATTTCAGATCAAACTTGAAATGATTTAATCACAAGATATGAAATTGTATTGACAGATGCTACCATACAGCAGAGGGAGAAGGCTATTTAAACTTAGCTAGCAATCTCAAGCTGTCAAGCAACAAAATAATGTCATTTTATTAGTCACAAAAATATTCCAGTCTGACATATAAAAAAAAGTTTTATTATTTCAAGATATCAACCTTTCTCAACATATCAGCCTCTTATAAAACAGACCGACCTCTCTAAACAGACCAGTCTTACCATACAAGAGATCAGCCTCTCTAAACTGAAAAATCTTAACCTACAAGACACCAGCCTCTCTCAACAGACCAGTCTTACCATACAACAGATCAACTTCTCTCAACAGACCAGCCTCTCTCAACAGACCAGTCTTACCATACAACAGATCAACTTCTCTCAACAGACCAGCCTCTCTCAACAGACCAACCTCACTCACCAGATCAGTCTGTAACGTTTACCTATCTATCAGCCAAATAGACGGAGAACGTCCCCGGATTCTTTTTTCGGGGTCATATGCAAATGCCTTACGGCCTAAGTGGATGAACACTAACACAACGGCACACTAGGGCTCGAATTCTATGTCTAGGGATAACTAGTGATACTATTGTAATTAACACTCATCCAATCTACACACAACCTTTAATCAGCGAACTCAGTTGTGGCAAAACACAAGGCTGAACTAGATAAAATATTTAATGTATAAAATATCAAAATCCAACTTACAAAATGTAGGAAAAACACTATCACAGATTTCTACACTGTCTAAAAATAGCCACAGGCCACACAACACTGCAATAGCTTCAAGAATTACTCGGCGACAAGTAATATTATACTCGAAGACTAAATCAACTTAAGAAAGCAAGGCACACACACAGGACTTAAGTTCTCTCACGTTCAAATGGTCAGAGTCTATAGCCGGACAATATGGACGGCAATGGTCT